AATAAAATAAATAAATTAAATCGATAAGTCCTAATAGTATAAAATATAAATAATAATATAAGATATTAATTTATTATTTTATATAAGTATTTTCTAATGAAAAAAAATATAATATATATGTATATAATATATATTTATATATTTATATATATTTATATATATATAACTAATAATAAATTATCATTAATATTTCCAATACAAATTATTATTATGATAAATGTTTAAGAAACATACTTATTTTTTTTTATAAAAATTATATAACTAAATCAAAAAAATAAATCTCATAATTGAAATTTTTAAAATTACATTAAAAATTATTTATTTTAAATATTAATAATATAATTATATACATTAATTTCATTTTACTATACTTTAAGAAAATATAAAATTTACTATTGTTTGAAAATAATAAATAAGTATCTATAAAATTTTAATGTATTAATAATATAATTTAAAAATTTAATTAGATATATTTTTTTTTTTATGTACCATAAAATAAATTAAAACATTAAGTAAAAAGATAAAATAATAAATCAGGTAGCATAATAATATTTTCATCAACAATATTTTATAAAAAATTGAATTATATAATTGTTAACTAAATGTCATAAAAAATAAGTATATTCAATTTAAAAAGTTTATGATAAATATAATATTATTTTTAAGATAAAAACATTATTAAAATAAATACTTTAAAAAAATATTTTTTTAATATAAATATTAAATTTAAGTATTATGATGTTTTTTTATATTATTTACAAAATAAATATTAGTATATGATATATTTATATTATTTATTTAATTTAAAACTAAAAATATATATTAATTTTAAAAATTATTAAGATATATATATATATATATATATAATCTAAATAAAAAAACAATTAAAATTAAAAATATTATAATTCCAAAAAAAATAAAATAAAATATTATTAGCATAAAACTACAAATGAATTTATTTTAAATTCCAAAATTTACATTTGCACTTGTAAGAAAAGCAAAAACATTTAAAGTAACATAATATGAAGCAATTCCAGATTACCATAAGCCAGTATTAAAAGATCGACATGATTATTAATTACGTACTATGGAATAAATAAAAGCCGATTTAAGAGATACAAATAATGAATTTAGAGTGTAAGCTTAATTAATATATAAAGATTATAATGACGCAAAATTTTACGAGGAATAATTAAATAGAAAAGTATATTATATATATATATATATATATATATATATATATATATATATATATATATATATATGAATGAAAAAAACAAAACAAAAAACATATTAAATTAAATAAATTTATCTCTTTATTTTATTTTTTAATAAAATAATAAAAAAGGTTAAACTTATTGTAGATTTAAGCAATTGGAAATTAACATCTTTATAAAGAGATAGATTAAGGATTTTATTAGGACCAAGGTATTTAATTTATTATATTTTGTTAAATTGTTTTTTTTTATTTTATTTTTAGATAAAAAGGACCCAATTAATTCACTATTACTTAAAGTATGTACAATGATCCTATTCTTAATTTTGAAAAACTTGTTTAATAAGTTTAAGAATTATATTTAGAGGCAAAAAGAGCTCCATGATATTATTATTTTTATGAAATATAATAAATATAAGTTATTTAAAAACTAAAAAAAAAATATCAATTTTATATATATATATTTTATTCAATCATTTAAAATTTCTAATATATCAATACATTTTTAATATATATTAACTTAATTATCCTATTATTATGAAAAATAATCTATTAAATTTTCCAAAATTAATTATACATTTGCATTTAAAAGTACATTTTTGGCCTTAAAAAATTAATTGTTTTCATCTGATTAAATTTTAAACCTAAAAAGTATATTAAGGATACCTTATAATATATTAAAAATGTGAAAATATTTAAAAAAAGTGAAATTTTTGAGTGCATTTAAAAAAACGAAAAATTTTTAAATCAAAAAGCATTTTTGAATATTCGAAATTTGTAAAGGACGAAATTACTGAAATTAAATTTAAGCTTTTTTCGTCATTTTCTTCGTTTATTAAAATTTTAGTTATTTATTGGTTTTCATTAAATTTATTATTTTCAAAAAAATATTAATTTATTAATGTTGATTTATGTCGGAATATTTTAGTTAGTACTTTTTTAGCTTTTTTTATGTTCTTTTAATGGTTTATTTAGGTCTTTATAATACACATTAGAGGCTCCATTATACCTAGTTGGCATAATTCTTCAGTTATGGAACATATTTAGTCACATAATATCATATATATGTCCAAAGTATAGTCTATAAAGGCATTTTCAGGGTCTTCGAGTATTTACTGGATACAAAAATCCCTTATATATGATAATAAAGGGCAATTGAGTTCTATAAATTATGATATATAATCTTCGTCGGCAGTATATAGGACATTTTTAAGTACAAATAGAAGCTCGTGTTTATTTTATAGAAGTTAGGGGAGCAAAATATATATCAAATGAAAAATTTCTTAAGAAAAAAAATCATATGAAAGTTGAGAAAGGGCAAGATTAAAAAGTAAAGAAGAGGAATCTAGTATAAAATTTTAAGTGAATTTTTAAAAAGTAATATTGAAGGAAATAATGGAAAATAAATTGGAATTAGAGAGTATTTTTTAGTTTATTTTTGGGTTGTTTTCAGCTGAAATATTACATAATAATTTAATTATATTTTCACGAATTTAGAGTTTTTCGTGATTTTCTAATTAATTTTCGATTATTGAAGGGATTGTCTTTTTATTCTTTTATTATATATCGTTATTTTCTTATTTTTATATTAATAGTTCGGTTATTAATATTTCTTATGTTTATAAAGGTATTTCTTTATGGGTTATATTTATTAAAATTGAATAAGAATCTATTAGAATTTAAGAATTTTATTCCTTTTTTATTATTTGGATTATATATGGAATTAATTAAATATATTATTAATCTAATTATATATCATTTTATGAGCTTTTTTCTATTATTTGTTCTATTTCTTCCGCTGTTTATTATATTAATTTATAAATAATGTCGTTTTGTGGGGATTATTAATTGATTTCTTAAATTAAAAGATTCAAAGTATTGGTTTTTGTTGGTATTTTTTCAGAGGTTTTAAAAATTGGTTTTATTGTACGTTTTTTAGCGAAAAATTATTCATGTTTTTTTTTACGGATTTCTATTTGGAATAATTTTTTTTTTTGGTTTATTAAAAGATTTTACATTTTTTTTTTTTATATATATTACTTTTAACAAAAATCGATTTTTTTTATAAATTATGTTTTAACAAAAAATTAAAGTAAAAATAATATATATATATATATATATATATATATATATATCTAATCTAATCTAATCTGAATTAAAATACAATATAAATAGTATATAATGATAAAAAGCAAATAAAATATATTATTTTTATAATATATAAAAATCTTGATATTTAAATATTTTAATATGTATATTTATATTTTATTTATTCTTATATTTTAAGTATTATTATTTTTCTATTTATCTTTTTAAATATTTTTGTATTTTTTTTAAAAAAGTATATATTTTAGCTGTGAATTATAAGAATTTATATTTTTCTTATTATTATTTTTTATAATTTTAAATATTCCTATATTTTATTATTATAGAAAAATTGTTTTCAGCTAAAATATAGGTTTTTTAGGAATTAAAATATATCTAAAAATTTCCTTTATTTATAATTTATTTTTTTACATATAAAAAATTCTTTAAAATAAATATCTACTTTTTAAAAATTTTCCTTTTTTTTTTTTATTTAATAAATATTTATTTTTGGATTTATCCTGTAAAATCCCAAAATTCTATATTTTCATAAACCTATTGTTTAATAAAAATTTCTGTTCTGTATTTTTTTGGTTTTTTCCACTACTTATCTATAAGGAAATTACTGAAGATTTAAGAGTTTGAAAAAACCTCAGTTTCTAATTACTAAAAGTTCTCGATTTAAAATTTTACAGGGTTTAAAACCCGTCCTTTGTTTAATAAACCATATAAACTGCAAATATGGGATTTTACCAATTTTATTTATGATGAAAATTAGTCCTAAAATTACTTACTTATTTCATATTCGAAATAATATAAGTGGTCACCTAATTTTATATTTCCTATTAAGATTAATATTATATTTTCGCCATACATATTTCGTTTTGTGTGTAATAATTACCCTTTTTGAATTTATACTGTACTACAGAATCTTATTAATAATTGTAAAATAGGATAATCTTCAAAATGATTGAATTTATAAATATCTTTAATTAAATCAGCTTTCGTAAATCGGAAGTTTTATAAATAACTTTAATTAAATCATCTTTCGTAAATCGGAAGTTTTATAAATAAATTTGTGTTTTATTTTATTTTGGGTTGGTGAAGATTTGGATACTTTATTCACAATTTTCAATTTTTTTTTTTTATAGTTAATGTTTAATGTGAATTATATATTATATTTTTTTTTTCAAATTTTTTATGTTTTTTTATTTCATGAAATTTATGAAATTTTTCTTTTGATTAGGAAGTTGTTTCTTTTTTTTTTGATAATATGATATTGTATTTATTATTTTTATAAATTATTTATCTTTCTAATATTTTAATAAATTAGAATATTTGTGATATCAATTTATATATATATATTTATAAATTTAAAAATAATCATTAAGAACATTAGTCATTATTAGATAATTAATAAAATATATTTTGTTCATTATTATTAAAAACTAAATGATATTTAATTATATTCATTTAAAAATAATATAATGTATTTATTATATTTTATATAAGAATTTATTATATAAATTTATTAATAAAATCTAAAAAATATATATAATTCGGGAAAAATATCAATATAATAATTTGTTCTAGATTATATAAATTATTATTAATTTTAATAAAATCAAAATACAAAATATAAAAAAGTATAAAAAAAATAAAAAAAGAAAATAAAAAAAAAAAAATAAAAAAAAATATATATATATATATATTTTTTCCCTAACAAAAAACAAATACTTAAAATAAAAAAGATTTTTTTTTTTTTTTGTTAAAAAAAAATAAAATAAAATGCCTCCTAAAAGTTCAGGTGATAGTAAAAAAGTAGAAAAAAAGAAATAAGAAAAAATAATTTAAGATAAGACATTTGGCTTAAAAAACAAAAATAAATCTAAAGTAGTATAAAAGTAAATAAAATAAACGATAAAATATTAATATTTAATATAAAAAAAAAAATAGTTTTGTCAAAACAATATCATAATAAGTACAAAATCATGGAAAAGTAAAACAAAAAATTCAATAAAATATTAAAAAAAAAACATAAATAGTCAGAAGCAAAATTGATAGAGGAAGAATTCGAAAAAAAAAAAGCTAAAAAAGCCGAAGAAGAAAGATAAGCTTTATTAGCCTCTTTATTTAAAACAGTAGATACAGTTAAAAACATAGCCGAAGAGGAAAAATCAAATGAACCAACAATTAAGATTTGTCAATTTTTTAAATAAGGTTTATGCAATAAAGGAAAGAAATGTAAATTATCACATGAAATATAAAAAGAAAAAATCGATATATATACGGATTAGAGAATATAAAATGAAGAAAATGACGATATAGATGAGTGGGATGAATAGAAATTATAAGATGTGATAAAATCCAAAGAATAATAATATAAAAAATAATGTTAGACAGAGATTATTTGCAAGTTCTTTCTTGATGCAGTCGAGAAATCGAAATATGGATGGAAATGGATGTGTCCGAATGGATTTGAGTGTCATTATAGACATTGCTTACCTCCTGGATATGCTTTAAGGAAGGATTTAGGGAAAAAGGATGAAAAAAAATAAGATTTAATTGAAGATTTAATAGATCAATAGAGAGAAAAAATAATAAAAAGTGAAGGAACACCAGTTACATTAGAAAGATTTATAGAATGGAAAAAAAAAAGACTGGAAAAAAAAGCTGAAGAAGAAGAAAAGAAAAAATAAGAAATTATTAAAAAAAGTAAAGGATAAAAAAAATAGCAGGATTAACAGGAAGAGCACTTTTCGTATATGATCCAACTTTGTTTCAAGATGATGAAGATGCAGTTGAAGAAGACTAAATGCTAAATAGAGAAGAAATTAAAGATGAAGAAGAAAATGAATAAGCTATTGAGGAAATGGAAAAAGTAATTGAAAATAATAATGAAGATGAAGATGAGGAATAAGAAAATGAAGAATAGAAAGAATGATATAAATCGTAAAATTAAAATATAGTAAAATTAATAATATATATATATATATTTATATATTATATATATATATATATATAAATATTAAATATATATATATATATATATATTTTAAAATTAAATAATATTTATAAGAGATATATTAAGATAAGAATTTTTTATAAAACTGATAAAAATTATAACTTTATTTAATTTTTTTGTTCGATTATTAATATAGTATTCTTATATTTTTTTTTTATATACTATATATAAAATATTTAATTAGTTACAAAATTATATATTTTTAATGATATCTGAAAATATTTTTATTTTATATAAATTCATTTATTTTATTTAATTTTTGGTAATACAATAGAAGATTATTATTAATTTAATTCAAAATCAATAATTTTATTTTATTAGATTTTTATATTTTTAGAAATATTAACAGAGTCAACTATTTATAATAATATATAATATATATTTAAATATATATATATATATATATATATATATATATATATATATATATATATTTATACCTTCTATAATCGAATTATGCTAAATAATTTATGTTTCATCTTGAGACATTGTTTATTTTTCAATATTAAATGGATTTATATAGCTTTCTTCTTCATAATTTAATAATTAATAAACTTTATTCTTTTTTTTTTTTAATATAAAAGAATTATTAATTTATAATTTTATATATTATTAATAAATACTTTTAATTAATTTTATATTTTTTCATCACTTTTTCTATTATTGAAATTTTCAAATTCTTTCTTTAAACTATTTATAAGATTTATCTATTCTTTTTTACTTGTACTACAAACTACTTTTGATGTATTTTTTTTTTAATTTAATAACCTTTTATTTTTTTTATTTATTTTTTTTATAAAAAAAGTAACTCTTTTTTTATCTTTTTTTCATTTCTATATTTTTAAAATGGTGTTAAATATTTATTTATTTCCTTCTTTTTATTTTTCGGAGGAGATTTATATTATATATTATCATATTCTTCGATTTTTTAGATAATTTTTTATGTACTAAATTCATTTAATTAACTACTAAAGAACTCATCATCTTCTTATACTTCCTCTTTTAATGTTATTTATAATATTTCTTTAGTTATTTCATTAAGTTATATCTATATATTAGCCAAGTATTCAAAATTTGCCTTTTTTTCAATTGTCAAAGAGTTACATTCCTTTATTAATTAAGTATTTTCGTTCTAAATTCTTATAACAATATCATCTCCTTCATTTTCAGATTATTTATTTAATCTGCTTATTGTTTATATCTTTTTACTCATAAAATTACATTATTTTTATAATTCGGATGTCTATATTATTGTTTAATTATTATTAATTTCTAGTTATTGGGACGAATTTTCTTCGTTTGTTATATTTTGGAAATAATTTTAGTATATTTCTTTAATTTTTGGAAACCATTTTTCGAAGTTTTAATTTTATAACATTTATAATATATCCTATTATTTTTTTATATATAATAAATATATAATGTTTTACATATTAAAAATTATTTATTTTAGTTTCCAAATGATGATTTTAATCATTTTTTTATTTTATTTATTGTTTTAATTATTACCTATAATTTGTATTTTCTTATAATTCTTAGGCTATTTTTTTAGCACTTTCGGATTCGTTTAATAATTCAGTGTAAATAGAATTAACATTATCCTTTATAAATTTATTTTATTTTTATGATATAAATAATAAATTATTACTTCTATCTTTTATAATTATTATAAAATTGGAACTCTTTCTTCTTTTATAGTTTAAACTTAATAATCATACCAAGATTTAAAGTTTTATAAATGTTTATTTTATATTCTATATTATTTAATCTCATTTTCTTTTTAGTTTATTTAAATTTCTTTATTTTTTAATAAATCCTTTAAAATTTTTAATATAAATTATAAAAATAATAATAGAATTATATAATAATGTATTATAATTAAATATATAAAAGAATAGAAAAAAATATATAAATATAATAAAT